TAAAACATCAAAATGCACTTTATGTTTTGTTTTTCAATAATAATAACATTTTTATTAACAAAAACAATTAAACAATTAAATTTCCTAGTACTTTTTTTAACGTATGGTACTGCGTAAAACATTTTCCTCTATGAAGAGGGACCAAACAAAATTTACATAAGTATCTAGATTCGCTCCTTTTCCCATGGGCGTGAAAAACGAGAACACTCGTGAGCGGTCCTTAACAGATGGCGCGTGGAACACGAGAAAACTCCTGAGCAGTACGAAATGTGTTAACTTGCTAGTCACATACCTAATCCATGGGTCCTATTGTACCTTCTCAGCATGTCCTTCAGATAGTGCTGTTTAGTTAGAGTCTCATCTTGTCCTGAAAATGTCCACTAAACAAGGCCTCTCTATGGCTTGTTTTACACATCTGTTTGCAGCTGTTGCATATACGTGATATGTGACTATGTGGGCAAGTCAACTGAGCCTCCCTCAGACCCATAGGTCGGATTTCCAGGCAGTATTTCATCTGTGAGCTTTCATCTGTGAGGAGGAGTGAAGTGGGAAGTAGACAGTCATGAATGTTAAGATTTCACAAGCACATCAACAGATTCTTATCTCAAATCCAAGGAATTTTTTTTATACTCTTCTAACCTCCCAACCGTAGTAACCCGTAATTACTTCATTTTCCAGTGACTTTACTAGGGGATGTTAGGAAGGAATACTTAATGCCTAAAATATGTGTTGCAAAAATGTAACTGGTACCATGAAGCCTGTTTATGTGGCCCCAGCGAATAGGGGGCGTAAGTAGAATGCCACAGCATTCAGACGTCTCTGGCTCCTGGGATTGTACTGGATGGGGAGTGTGAGTTTCACCCCCAAAGCCAGCTTCAAGGCCAACCTCCCTCCTGGTCACTGGTGCTGCAATTTTTGTTAGAACACACACAGTGCAGCTTATTTCCCAGCTCCCCTTTGCCTTTGGGAGGTGTTGAAAAGATGGCAGGTGTAAAAGGACCCGCGTTGGTGCCCTGGCTTTGTACAGTCTTGGAGGCCTTTGGGTCAAAATAATGAATATTCAGTGTGGAAGGAGTAGAATGTGACTTAGGAACACAGCAGACAGTACATTACCAACTCTCTGTGGCTCCTTCTAGTAGTCATCTTAAGGCAAAATCGCCACACTTAGTTGACTATTGCTCAAAATATTTTAATACTACTCTCCTGGAATTGGGGGGGGTTTGCCCCTTTTGGGGAATTTCTTCAAATATGGCACATGAAGCCAAAGAGCAGCGGAGCAAGGACACAGGGGGCACTGTGAGTGTCTTTTCCTCGCCTGAAGATCCAACCTCATGACCTTCCCTGTGATCTTACTCCACAGCACGGGTGGGAAGTCGTGGACTCAAATGACTCAGCTTCTCAGCACCAGGAGGAGCTTCCTCCTCCTCTGCCCCCTGGCTGGGAAGAGAAAGTGGACAATTTAGGTCGGACCTACTATGTCAACCACAACAACCGATCCACTCAATGGCACCGACCGACACTGATGTGAGTACTGTAGGATGGTTAGGAACACACATCATCGTCTGCAGGTAGGGCCAAACGTGGCAGCTCTTTGAGCCGGGCCTGGGAAATATATCTCATGTCTGTAAAAGCACGTGGTGGTATGGTACCTCAGTGTTCCCCTTCATTGAGTTCAAGAGCATGGCAGCCTGTCAGAATTTGCATATGATGAGGAAGCCCTTGCCTTTGATCGCATTCTGCTATTTTATGAACTAACTAGAGGCCCAGTGCATGAAATTCCTGCACTAGGGGGGGCGGGCTCCCTCAGCCCAGCTTGTGCCCTCTTGCAGTCCAGGAGGATGTCCGTGGAGCGGGCCTAAGCTGCAGTCGGACATCCTTAACACTGCCGCAGAGCAGGAGAGGCTCCTGCCACCGCCACTGCGCTCACCAGCTGTGAGCCTGGCTTCTGGCTGAGCAGCGCTTCCACTGTGGGAGCACACTAACCACCAAGAAGCAGCTCCTGCGTTAAGCATCTGCCCCCTGGTGGTCAGTGTGTGTTATAGTGAAAGGTTGTTCTGCCATTTGGTCGATTTGAATTAATATAGGATTGATTTTGCCTTTTTTAAGAAAAATATTTATTGATTTTTAGAGAGAAGAAGGGGGAGAGAGAGCAATACTGATTTGTTGGCTCCACTTATTTATGCATTCATTAGTTGATTTTTGTATGTGCCCTGACCAGGGATCAAACCCACAACCTTGGTGTATTGGGACAGTGCTCTAACCAACTGAGCTACCGGGCCAGGGCTGTCTGTCTTCTTTATATAGATTTGTGAAATACAGAGCAGAGGTTACATTTCTTAGATTTGTCTTTTCTTTGGTGATATCATTTCCCTCTTCTTCAGCTTCCTCTTCTCACTAACCCAGGATGGAAAACAACAAGCAAATTGGCCTTGCAGTGTTCTTTTTCCCCTTGAGATTTGGGATTTTTATTCCCTTTAATTACTTGATTTAGAAACCCTCTTAAAATTTTTTGTTTTCCCTTTTTTGAGAAATTTCTATATCACCCCTTTGATATAATTAGGAACACACAGGATTGTTGCAAACTCAGAATTAGTAATTACTGCTTATTCTGATCCCTCCCCAACCTCATGGAGGCAGTGCACTGATTACTGTTTTGTTTACTTGGCAATTTTTGGTTTGATTATACCAAATAAACACTAGTTAAACCTCAGCTACTATAAAAAAGGATTCGAAGTAGCTTGTTTCTATTTATCTATTTCTTAATTTATTTTTATTGTTGAGAGTATTACAGATGTCCCTTTTTTCCCTCCCATTGACCCCTTCTATTCCACACCTCCCTCCCCCGCAACCCCAGGTCTTCACCACACTATTGTCTGTGTCCATGGGGTATGCATGTAGGTTCTTTGGTTAATCTCTTCCCACTTACCCCCACCTTCCCTCTGAAATACATCAGTCTGTTTTATGCTTCTATGTCTCTGGGTTTATTTTGTTCTTTAGATGCCACATATGAGTGAGATCATGTGATACTTGTCTTTCTCTGACTGGCTTACTTCACTTAGCTTGTTTTTAAATCACAGTATACCTCAAGATCTAAAACTGTTAATATGCAATAAACGGTTAAAAAAAAGTATTAAAAGAAGGGAAAGAAAAAATTATTCTAGCAATCATGAGTTCGCTAGCAACCAAGATAAGGAGGTAATTATCAATGAGTTATATAATTGTAACAGGTATCAAAGGCCAAGTATATCAGGTGAGATAATTTTCTCCTTAACCCAGACTCTGAAGGAAATTTGCTGATGATATTTTGAAACAAGGGATATTAGCAGTATGATGGATGGATGGTGTTGTTGATAACTCTTCTCTTTATAAATTTCAAAGATATCCTGGGTGGGGAAGGTAGCCAAGAAGTTTGGTCTGGGTTTTGTTGATTTACAACTAGAGTTTGCAGAATCTTCAGCAACAAATAGCCAGGCCTTTCTACGCCTCCAGATGGGTTCTTGTGAATATCAGCTGTCCTTGGTCAGCTTTGGACTGCCTAGCGTGGACATCAGCTCATTGCCCCCAGGACAACAGAAATATCAGAACATTGGGGTGATGCTAAACTCTTTTTTATTGTAATTTTTTCCCATGGAAATGATTTGGTGATCTTTTATATTAAATTAAATATTTTACTATTTTCCTCTGGTTAATGGCCATAGCTGTTAAAACTGTTGTAAGTCATTTGATTACGCTAGCTATTTGTAGTTTTTTTAAAAAATGGACTCACCTTGGACTTGGTAGTATGTAGTGATCAGAAGAATCTTGGTAGTGATAACCCTAAGCAAAACGCCATAACCTACCTTTGCTAAACATTGTAAAAAAGTACCTTAAAACATAGCACTCTGTTGGGACCAGTATGTCATGTGACCTCTGTAGGAAAGTGACCACTAGCAACTCACAAAGGAAGAAATACTTATGGCCAATACATCTATGGAAATTTTTCACCTTTATTAATACTTACCATGTACTAGTAAACTGAAATCTATATTTGGAGGATAAATGGTGATAATTGCAACTGTAGCTTCCTCCCAGAGTTGTGAAACTAATGAGAGAATCACTGAGAAAACACTTTATGTGGTTTTCTAAACATACCATCTTTGGTGTCTATGTACCAAAGAATTAAACCAAAACAGAAGATGTAGTTTGTGTAATGCTGGCAAAGCAGGAGCCCAGAAGCAACATGGGAAGATGCAGTTCTTCATCCAAGTACAGGTCCACATGTAGTTTAGGGAGAAGTCAGTGACATGACCATCCCCATCCCTGAGGCAGCTGAGCTCCAACGAGAGGTGGAGCCAGGAAGGACACAGCAGGACTCGGGGTGGAGCTCATGGAACGGCTTCTTTCCAGGTGACGTCTAGAAAGCCAAGAAGAGTTAGATAAGGAGAGTGGGTTTCCACAGTGACCTTTTGATCCCATCTGTGCTGTTTGAGAACTCGGGGTTCTTTCTCCTTAACTTTATTTGGCTTGGCCTGGAGCCCTCAAGCCTTCCAGAATTAAGGGATTGTTTTAATTCAGAAATAATTGTTTTCAGAAGTCAGTTTTTACAGAATACTCTAGTACTCTTTGGAGGAAAATTGATAATGAGAAGTCTGTATTAATCAGCTGTAGCTGAGAAAATCACATAGTGATTACCGATTACCATGTGCTAAACCTTGTGCCCCAAACTTCAAACCCTCTAAAAATTGTTCACCCTGAAAAAATATCAGTGCCCTCAGACTGTTTTTACAAGATCTGTTTCCATCCTGTCTCCTCCAGACTCGCCACCACAGTCACAAACATGCAGGCACCCAAGTGGCCCAATCATGCAAGCTGCTTCCTCATTCTTCATCTTCTTTTTGGCTCCATGGCTGTGCTGCTTCCCTCCCCTACCCTCCAAAAAGAGGGGAAAAAACTAGAACATGCCCTTCCCCGGCTACCGCCAGCCTAATGCACCTTCCTCTGGGGAGCCAGACCCTTTTAGGCAGGCGTCCCTGCAAAAACCTTGGGCTTCCCCAGTCCTGGCTTGGAGCACAGAATATTCTAATTCCCTGTTGGAGCAGATCTATCCTTTGCACCTGGCACAAAGTCGGCGCTCAGCCAGTGCCTTTAACTGAATGACTGACTAGAGATGAGTCACTTCTGAAAGTGATCATACACATGGTTTCCTGCACTGTCTAGGACAGGTTTAGGTCTAGATGCATACTTTAGAACAGAAGGTGACCAGAGAAGACACCCCAGCCCCCTCAAGTTTGATGGTGGCTTTTAAAACACCCCTAATTTTAAATTTGTCCTTTTCCTATTTTAACATAAACTATAGACTTTTTACTGTAAAAACTACAGTTTTTTTTAAAAGGTGGGGAATTACATGAAGATGATAAATGAAGATGAACTTGTTAAACTCACCTAATTTGCACTTATTTTAGCTCTCTAAAATACTTTGTGCATCTTTCCCTGTCTTAGCAGTAGTGCAGTCATATAGTCATTAATGTATGTGAATGTAAATGATCTGGCACACTGATCTTAATTGGCACTGAACTTGTCTTTATTCATTTGTACATTTTCCATGAAAGTTAATTAAACAATGCATATGTGAAATTAATGACTGATGAAAATTGAAATAGCCATTCCTTAAATTTTTTCTGGCCTGAGGTAAAACCATTTTTCTGTTTTAGTTTGTCAGATTAGGAATATTTTACATGTTTATCTGGCCATAAGTGACCATTTATACTTACAGTCAGTTTCAACAACTTCTGTTCCAAACCCTCTCATTCAGTTAATTAAATACCATGGTGTGAACATTTTCATTTTGGCACTAAAAGACCATAAAAGCCCGTGTTTGGAATTTCAAAATCAGAGGTATCTGGCTTCTTTATGCTATTTAGTTGTTTCTGGTTCACACAGATTACTAATTATTTGAGCATGTTGGGTAAGGAAGATTGGCATAATTGATTTTAAATGCCCTTTAAAAAAAAACACCAGTTTTTCCAAAATAATGGACTTTTGTATATACTTCTGAGAGATACAAAATGCAGAGAGAGTAATGAAAACCTTATTCTTTTCAACCTCTCAGAAGTCCCTGTAACAATTCAAGTATGTGTTAGGGCCTGGCACATGTAGCATGCAAACATTAGTCTCTCTGTTGACTGAATAAATGATGACTGATATTTCAAGTGAAGATTTCAAATTTTAATGAAACTCTTATTTGTAAAATATTTTTTAAGGAAAGCCAGTCATTATAAAGTGATATTGCTTTCATCTTCAATAAAAAGTGAAAGAGGACAATGTAAAGTTTCCTTTCCTTTCTTAGACACTACTGAAATATTTTACACATTTTATTAAGGTATTTTGATCATTCTGACCTACTTTTTGTGAGTTTTGTAATGTCTTTTAATTACTTTTGATAAGCATTGTTTGCTTAAGAAATGAATGCCGTATAAAAATGACTGTAGCAACATGAAATCACAAAAAGCAATATTACATTTTCTAATATATTCCATAGTGTTATTTTTATCATTCTGTTTTGGTAGTTTCAGAAATGTTATTAGAATACTTGGGTATCCCTTGATTGTAATTATTTTATTTATGGCCATAATTGTCCATTTTTCTGAAGGTATCGCCATTTAGTGTCCTGTTTTTAGTTTAGTCATACTTTAATCTATATAATAAAAGCCTAAGCAACCATTGCAGCGGAACGACCAAAACGACTATTCGCTATATTGTGCACTTACCACCAGGGGGCCGACGCTCAATGCAGGAGCTGCCCCCTGGTGGTCAGTGCGCTCCCACAGGGGGAGCACTGCTCAGCCAGAAGCCGCACTCAAGGCTGGCAAGAGCAGCGGCAGGGGGGGGGGGGGCGTCCCGCCGAGTGCGCTCCCACAGGGGGAGCACTGCTCAGCCAGAAGCCGCACTCAAGGCTGGCAAGAGCAGCGGGCGGTGGCAGGAGCCTCTCCTGCCCCCGTGGCAGCACTAATGAGCAGTGAGCCGAGTGGTAAGGAGCAGTGAGCAGGCAGATGGTAAGAAGCGAGGTGTCCCAGACTGCGAGAGGGCGCAGGCCAGGCTGAAGGAACCCCCGCACCGCCCACCCCCCCAGAGCACAAATATCATGCACCAGGCCTCTAGTATTACTATAAAATATGCAGGATATATTTCTGTTAGAGTTCAAAAGTTTGTATATTGGATATGCAGATACAGTAAAACTTAATTCAGATTTTCATAATAAATTATCATTTTAATATGGATCAAATGAAAGCTAACCTTCATCTTATCCCCTTTACCAGTAAAACTAATTGTGTAAAGATGTCTATTTGAAGGACTTAAACCATTTCAAGAGTTACCTATTTATTTGCATACAAGGCTGTTAGTTGCAAGCTCTTTACTATTCAGGAGCCCCACAGGCTCTTTATTGGAATGCAGTATTTGTTTGTTTGAATATTTAAAACCTATGTTTTAGGAAAATCTGTAACAAGGGCCGTGGATTAATACTATATTTTAATTAGTTTAAATAATGTTTTCAAATATTTTGAAATCTTAACTTGTGACATCATTTTTGTCAACTGAATATGGTGTCTTATCAAAGGAGTCTGTGTGAGTTTTCTCTGAGAAACATTTTGACATTTAAACTTCTACTCTAAAAGCCCCCAAAATTTGGTGGAAGAATTCTCATTGTCAGCTTGTTGAACATAAGTGCACTGTCATTTTAGTAGGTGCCAGGCCCTTGGTGAGTGTTGGACTCTTGTTGAGGGGCCACTTATCAATATGGGGTCTGCTGTCTCCACCCCCTGCCCTCAGGGATGTGTCCTCCGAGGCGGACAGCAACATCCGGCAGATCAACCAGGAGGCGGCCCACCGGCGCTTCCGCTCCCGCCGGCACATCAGCGAGGACCTGGAGCCCGAGCCCTCCGAGGGCGGAGAGGGTCCCGAGGTACTGCGTCCCGCTGCCCCAGACTCTGCACCCTCTCCTCTCCATGTTCCCAGCTTGATTCTATGCTGTGATTTCCTTTCTCCATAAAAGCTGTCTAATGGTCTCATAGCTAATTGACAGCCATTGAGATATTTAGAAAGTGCTCATAAAAACCATGTTTGATGAATGCATGTATCTATATTATTACCAAAGAATGGCATTTTGGGGATCTTAAGATTTTTTTACTCCATAATTGCAATTGAGTGAGCCCTATAACTTCTTTGGGTACCAAGTACAAGCTATTACTGAATACTAGTACTTTTGACATCACAAAAGAGATGTATTACCAAGGAAATACAAATTTGGGTGAATGGCACTGTTTATAATTTGCCCCTGAAATATTTATGGTAAATTACTGGGGTGGGGGAAGTTATGAATTGAAGAACAAATGAACAATTATCATAACTTCCATGCTGCCTTAACAGCTCTGTTTACTTACTAGAAATCCATTAAAGGTATTACCTCAGGAAGATCATTTACAAAATGCTCCAGTGATCAAAAATTGAAAAGCCAAATTGATTCCGTAAAAAATTTACTGAAAGGTACTTTACAACATTGTTTAATTACAGATTATAGCATCTATGCTGTTTTCATTGTGAATCCTGAGAAGTTAGAGTGAAAGGAACTCCATGGAAGTTACCAAGGAATTCCTGAGATTATTTTTTAACCCATGCATTTCGTAATGAGAGCTAGAGGTCAGTCACAGCTCAGAGAGGTGGTATTATAAAGTGGTTAAGAGCACAGCCCATGGAATCTGGCTTCCTTGGTTCAAGACCTGGTCCTGCCACTTCATAGCTCTATTACCTTGGGCAAGTCCTCCTCTGTGCCTCAGTTTCCTCACCTGCTAATTAGGATTGTAGTCATATCTTTCTCGTGGTCCTTGAGAAGATTATTTGCCTCCTACATGCTTAGTAAATGTTAATTATAGTTATGATAATAGTTATTGTTGGGGATTCCTCCTTCCTAGCATTTACCTCTGCATCTCATCCATTGGTAGCCTTGGGAGACCATTTCAGAAGAAGCAGCCATCACTGGAGACCCTTCCCTGAGTCTGTCGCTGCCCCCACCACCTTCCTCCCCATCCTCTCGGACCAGCCCTCAAGAGCTGTCTGAAGAACTAAGCAGAAGGCTTCAGTTCACTACGGACTCCAATGGGGAGCAGTTTGGTTCTTTGATTGTGAGTAATCGTCCTGTTTGAATGAGAAGTTAAACAAATATTTTATCATTTTGTTGTTGTTGTTGCTTTAAGAGAGTCTTGTATGCAAATAATGACCAAGGGTCTTCTAGCTCCCAGATAATTCTGACATTTTCCTAAGTTCCTCCTAACCTAGGAGAAGCAGGACTATACCAAAATTGGCCATGCAGGTGAGAATCTTTCTTTTTTTTAAAATATATTTTTTTGATTTTTCACAGAGAGGAAGGGAGAGGGAGAGAGAGTTAGAAACATCGATGAGAGAGAAACATCGATCAGCTGCCTCCTGCACACCCCCCACTGGGGATGTGCCCGCAACCCAGGTACATGCCCTTGACTGGAATCGAACCTGGGACTCTTCAGTCCGCAGGCCTATGCTCTGTCCACTGAGCCACACCGGTCAGGACGTGAGAATCTTTCTTGATTTAAAAAGAATGCAAGAAAATAAGAGTTCATGACTTCTATAATTCTCAGCTTTAACCATGTAGAATTTCTCCTCCCAGCCAAAGGCTCATACATAGTACTCTCACCACAAAGGTGGCTTTTTGCACTGGGGACATGGAGGAGATATTGGGCCTCCCAATCAGTCCTCTTAAATCATACTCATTTCAGAGATGTAGGCATAGTCTTTAAGGGACCCATCCAAGACAAAGTTGGAATAGGAGATAGAAAACATTTACGTCCCAGAAAACCAGTCCTTCAGAAGGGTTGTGGAATTGGGACACTGACATCAGGGTAGTAACATTTGAATTGGCGTTCTCAACAATTAAGGACACTATTTCTAGAAGCTTTAGCTGAGCCCTGGTAAGCAGCAGAATCAGCCATGAAGAACTCTGTGTTTAACAGTATAAAACTGCAGAAAAAGCCCATAGAAAATTCCTGCTTGAGCTTTAAACTGAGAATAAATGCAGTCTCAGTTTCTTGAGAAATTGAACTTAAAGCTGTTCTATAGTAAAGATGGGAGTGATGTCACTGAAAATGGTGCCTAAAAAAATAGGCATTATTGCGATCATATAAAATGTTAATGGGTAAGACTGCATGATATGTAAAAGCAAATACTCACAAAATTGCTCCTTATTCAGTTACGGTGTTTTTATTTTAACAGACACCATTGACCAATTTGTGTGAGATGCAGTGATTATTTAATGTGGTTTTATATTCAAAGTCTATTAATGGTTTTCAGAAAGAAATATCAATGAGATAAAATTTAGTAGAAAGGGGGCAGGGAAAAAAAGAGTTTACATATATAGGACGTTTGAATTGGTAAAACTGTTGCTATGGAAACAATATAAGCAATGAAGCCATATATTTAAAACCTATTAAAGAAAGTATTGCAATAATTATAGCAATTATATACCTTTGGTCTACCAAGTGAAAAATCATAATATTCTTCAGCATTAATATTAAGTTAACATCTCTAATTATTTGTATAAGGAGCTCCTGCATTTACTTATTAAAGCTATATAAAATACCTTTAACATCCACATGCACATGTCAGAATTATTTTAAGATTGTTGAGTCTGGTTCAAGTGTTAAATAAAGGTGCCTAAGAAAGAGAAACATGGGACTCTTCTCCAGTTCTTCTCAGGGTCACTGTATCCAGAACAATAGCAGCAGCTACTGTAGAAAGACGTGGATAGTCCCCCACCCCCTTCCCTGCCCCAAAGTCTTTCTTTGTCCTTATCGCATTTTAGTTATTGCAAAATATCAAACGTGTCCCCTGGATGAACCTGTTGCTGATTAGACCCTGGATTTTGTATGCGTCACCTGCTGTGTTCTCTGATTGGATTTGTTAGGCTCTTTAACAAGTGAGAGGAACATTATACATTACACATTTGATTTACTAGGTTAGCCTCACTATTTCCCTTCATTCCGTATCTGTGTGACTTTAACTCCATTGAGAAGCCAAAATTGTAAATACCTGACCCTTCAGAAGTAGCACAAAGTTATATTTGAGTTCCCTTGGATATAGAATCCAATTAGTTCTTTATCAATGATAATAGTCAGTAAATGTTTCATAATCATATCTCAATATTCCTTTCTATAGGATGCATCCCAAAACAAATGATAAGACTTCCAGCTTCCAATTTCTATTTTTCAAGCAACCCTAGAGTGTTATGGTGGCCTGTTGAGTCCCCTTTCATGCTTTGACCTTGTTCCCTTATTTTTTGCTGTTACTTCTAAGGACTAATCAAAACCCAGTCTGCTTAATTCACTGAGAATGAAAACAACTGCAGACAACTTGACTCCTGAAAGGACTACTCTCATTACCCTGAAAAGATGTTTCATTTAATTGCCTTCCATTATCATAGTGCTGTGAATAGCACCAATGGTGTATTTTGTGAGCCAATGAAACTTTTTTTAAGAATGTTTTCTTGACGCTCCCTGTCCTTTCCTCCCCTTCAGCAGAGGGAGCCCTCCTCGAGGTTGAGGTCGTGCAGTGTCACTGATGCAGTCGCGGAGCAGGCTCACCTACCACCGGTAACCCACGCGCATTTCCCTTCCCCAGCTGGCTCTTTCAGCTTTTATTTAAAATCATTGGGGCACTGAGGAAGAGTTTTTCCTGTGAAAATCCATTTACATTATAAATGAGACACTCAAATTTCCTAGCAAATTGCCCAAGGAGAGTGGATTTCCAATACAAAGAGTTGTTTTTGCCACCAAAGTCTCTAAAATGGTAAAAACTCCATTGCTTAGTTTTTCACCCAAATTAATACCAATTCTGATGTGCTCACTTAACTAAAAGCATACGTTAACTAATTTTTAAAAAGATTGAATTTAGTCCCTCAAGCTGTGCTCTGGTGATTGTATTTAAGAACATACTGAATCCTTTTAAACAGGAAGAACTCTTCCAGGTGTGAGCGAGCTAGGCTTTCATGACGACCTAATTAACCCCACACAGCCTCTGTACCTTCTCCTTAAAGGCAGCTCTACTGGCTAAAGAATTAGCTACAACTAGTTCCTACTCTCCCACAGTTTCTATAGTTAGCAGAAAATATGGAAGAGTGGCAATGTTTAATAATATAGGACATAAATGAAAATGAATATTCCAATTGGAAGGCAGACCAGAATTGCCTAGGGAGATGTTTGGTGTACATGTCAAAGATAAGAAACGTGATGTGACTTTGTTTCTTCTTTTGGGGGGAGAAACTGCTTTTATTTTAGCATGCCCAATGTGATGTTTGACCATAACCAGTTTTTTTATGATGACGAATCCTCAATCATTTTTAGCACTAATACTTTATTATGTGTAGTGGGGGGAAAGTGCACTTACAGATTTTGAAAGCACAGTGTCTTCCCTATTGTGTACACCTTTGCACAAGTCAGAAGAATTTTTTTTGCCTAGCTTTTATCTTTTATGCTGCAAAATGAATGAATGAATACACCAGTCAACTGAGTGGTCAAAATAAGGGATTCATTTGTGCCTTGTATCCAATGTGCTGGTTGATAAGCTTGACAAGAGCGCCCTTTCTGGGATGGTTTCAGTTCAGATCTCCCCCAAAACAACAATCAGCTGTGATGGGCTGGTGGGATCCTCCACCTAATGATTCTGTGATTTTCCTTGATGAATTAATGGCACTTCCTCTCCTTTTCATAATCAGTGTTATTTTATTTGCCAAAGAGTCTCTTTTCCTAGAAACAGATGACTCCTCCCTTACACTCTCCAAAGCTGAAAACTCACTGATCACCAGTGGCCTCTTGAATTTTGAGTGTGGCAGATTTAAGAACCTGCTCATTATTTAACAGTGAGGGCAAAACCAAAGTGGTGTTCAATTTCTTTTCCGAACAAGACATCTCATCATTGTTATTGAAGTTGTCAATTCATTGTTCGGCCAAATCGAGGCTGCAGCCTGAGGCTTCGTGGATGGGAGATTGACTGGGTCTTGCTCCTCTGGTCATCAGTGATCGCTCAGCTTTATTTGGACAGAAAGGGTTTCAAGGATTCTGATTCATGTCACCTGCCTCACTGGCTGCCACAGCAGTGATTCCTGATTCAGTAAACAATGGGTGGTCTCCCTAAGTGCCTCTCACTGATATAAATTATCATTTAACAGCCCAGTGCCCCAACTAGGAGAGCGCGTTCGTCAACTGTCACAGGTGGTGAGGAGCCAACGGTAATGATACCCTTGATCAGACTTTAACAGCAAAACTGTGGGTTCGTTTTAATATTTTGTATAATGGTGAATATGCTCCTTTTTTCTTCTTTTTTTTGGGGGGGGATATTGACTTTTTTGTGCTGCAGAGATGCACATGGTTCTTTTTTTAAAATATATTTTTATTGATTTCAGAGAGGAAAGGAGAGGGAGAGAGAGAGAAACATCAGTGATGAAAGAGAATCATTGATCGGCTGCCTCCTGCACACCCCCTAATGGGGATCGAGCCTGTAACCCTGGCATGTGCCCTGACCAGGAATCGAACTCTGACCTCCTAGTTCCTGGGTCGATACTCAACCACTGAACCACACCAGTCCGGCTAGTCTCATATGGTTTTATCAGGAAGACTGTCAAGCTTTAAGTGCATTTAATTTGACCATTAAGAATATATTTTTGGCCCCTCTCTCATCATTGATGTTTCTATCTCTCCCTCTCCCTTCCTCTCTGAAATCAATAAACGTACTCAGTTGTGTGATTCAAGCCTGGGAAGCAGTTGCACAAGTGGATTTTCAGTTGGGCACGGTAGCTATCTCCTGTGTGTTTTCTGCCCCACGTTTTAAACATTGAGTTAGATTTTTCTGTATCATGAACTTGAACCAGTGACTCTCCTCACAGGAATAAACATGTTTATATACTACTTGGGGGATGGGAGGGAGGGGGGCATGATTAATAAATTTGAAAGATTTAGAAATAATGGTGTTTCTCTAAGCCAAGTATCTGTTATTGTTATTATTCGTTATTTTAAATAATGGATTTGACTGTGTACTTTAATTGTCTGTTTTCTATTTGATCCCTGAAGATAGGCTAGCAGCTTATAGTTTATGTTTAGAGCTGCTATGGCTATTTAAAGAATTTTCCTTATTGTTTCACCTTTCTTATGTTTGTTACAACTGCTTTTTATTTGAGAACACCTTTAAATACATATACAATTGCAGATTTTTCTGAAGAATGTTGATTTTTAATGAACAATTTATTTACGTTGTTAGAATTTAATGCTCAGCATTGTACACAGGAAAGTCAAATCTGCTATCAGCAAAAAATCAGCCTCATTTAACCTATTGAGCCGCAAAAAGTCCTGTGTTGTGAAAGTCATGTGTTGGGTAGGCCAGGCTCAGCTTCCAGTGGAAGACATGAACCTTCAAATGAAGTGGCACATTGCCTACTGTGTACTGGAAATTTCTATAGCAGTAGAGCTGCAAGGGGGATGAGAACATTTCATGAAATAATTTTAGTAGAATTTAGTGCTAATGAGTATCCTCTTCCATCCACATTTGCATTTTATTGGTCTTGAAAGCTGCTGTTAGTATTGGAGTGTGTGGTCGCTGTGATATTAAATGGTGGGATTTCCTGTGGCCATTACCACGGCCCTCTTTTTGCCAGTACTCTCCCTTCCCCCACCAATGAATAAAAAATACAAGTTTGTTTTTTATTTGGCAGAATTGGGCCGTAGAAGTAGTTCCTAAATGTTTTACCTACTCTCATGTTTTCTATGTACCTGGTCATCTTTTGGTTGCAATAAGCCAACTAATTTTATGGCCACATTCGAAGTTTCAGTAGGTTTGACAGTATCACATTTGTTTCTTTTTCAATATCATTATCTCTTGTCACCAGTGCCCTTTACTTTCTCTTTTCCAGTTCCATCTCCTAGCATGTTTCATTCCCTCTTACACCCTCTCCCAACCCTCTCCCTGTCAGCCCCACACGGAAGTGTACATGCTTACACTGGAGCTGTGTTCCGCTCTCACAAATACATGTGTGTACACAAATGGGATCTCATGTACATTTCACTTAGCAACTTGATATTTTTCACTTACGGTCATTCTTCTGGAACATGTTAATGATTACATAATTTTCAGGCATGCAAATGCACCAGTTTATATAATCTTCCCACATTGGTGAGCATTCAGCCCCTTGCCCCACCCATATTCGTCCTGCACACCATGTTGCATGAATCATCCTGGTCTTTCCTTGGCAGTGCTTTTATTTCTATAGTATAAAAACAGATCCTGATTCTCACCTGCAGAACTACAATCCTTTCATTTACCACAAATAAGTACACTTTCCAGGGAGCTAAGCAGGAGCCCTCTCTGAGATGAAGCAAGAGGGACAGCACAGTCTTTTTGCTCTTTGCTGTGTAGACCCTAAAATAAACAAATGACGGGAATGGCAGGGTTTGAGGGAATCTTGGGGCATCGGCGATATTGCCAAACATTTATCATCTGGAAAAGCCTATTTGAACTTTGATGGTTTAAACATAATTGATTCTCCCTTTTAATGAAATAATTGGAGCCACTGTGCAGCTGTAGCACAACGGCTGTTTGGCGTTATGAAACACACTAGTATATTCAGATGAAAAGCTGTGAAATGTAAAATTAAGCATACTAGCAGTTTTAACGTGTCTCTTGACTAATTAACTGTTTCTTAAGGTAGAATGGAACGCACGTGAGTGCGTATGTGTATGCACACACACGACAGTGGAAGTCTGATTTTGGCTCAGGGCTAGCCCCTTCTGTGGTCTGTCTGTGGAAGCTGTGTCCTGTCCCTCCCTAGCTCTGAGTGAGAGGTTTTGAGTTACAAGTGGAATCACCATCACAGGCTGTTCTCCATGGTCAAGAAATCTATAAGAAGAACATTTTTATGGCACCATCTCTTTTTAATGGAACTAAATTAAGGATTACCAGTTCAGTTCTCAGTAGAAGGTACAATGAACATTTTAATCAAATTCAGTGTTCTCTACTATACTCCTAATTTCCCATAATCTGATTAGTCCTATTCACTGTAGATCTACAAAAATAACCTCGTTGCTGGAATGCTGTGCTGGAAGTCATACAGTCTTAGAAGTAATTCTGAGATTATCCAGGACACAGCCAAGCTATACTAGTTATCAGACCCCTCACAAATATCCTTTCCAGGGATGTTATAAGTGCAAAACTATCCATAAGGTTTCCAGAATGGAGTTTTCTCAGGGCCTATCTCATTGCCTCTCCCCAAAAATAATGGGGAGCAAGAAAAGCAACAAATTCCATTCAGTGCTTCATTTAGCCCAAGCATTTTTGGTCCTCATGTGAGCAGTAGTAGGTCAAAGCTTTTTGATAGCACGTACTTTGCCACACAGTCCAATTGACCACTAACTTAGGATACAGCTTGGGTTCTAACCTGGTTTAGCAGAGTTGGTCTTTTATAGATAAAAAATAGACCGGCAATAGTTCTTTTCTGTTGGTGCTAGAGGAGGAAGGCGGAAAGAGCTTCAGGTTGTATAAATTCATCTGACTTAAGCACCCATGGATGGATCAAGTCTGCCTGTTGGTGTTTCTTCCACTCTTGTTGAATCCCCACACATAGGCCCAGGATGCTCTATGATCAGAGTCTTGGAATTAACCATGATGAGGTATTTCAATTTTTATCTGGGAAAATGTCAAGGAAGTAGTTGCTATAGGTTTAGAAGAAAGTTTCGTTGCCAGTAATGTTGCCTTGCCTGTTCAACATGTTTTAGAAATAACCATTGAGGCAGCTGTTCCATGGCCTCGGTTAGTTTTTCTCTGGAATGTGCAGTTGAGCTCAGGAAGTAGAATATGGAGCCTCAATAACTAACGTCCCCAATGATGTGGTAGCATCCTTGATCATGCTAACTCAGGGTCATGCAGTGGACTGGGGATCCTCTGATGTGACCCTCTCTGTCACAGCACATTATTGGTAGGAGACACGAAAGATGGGATGAGCACGGAGAAACTGGGTCAAGAGATTTACATTTTCAGCCTAATATTAAGAAAATAACAGCTGGTAAAACATCTGGAGGGTGAGAAGATCCTAATTAGGGGAGATGGTACCCAGAAAGACGTGGCTTCCTTTTATATCCCAAATAATGTTTAGCCTCTTGCTTCTTTAACGTTCTCCTGGGAGCCTGGATAGCCATGGTTGGCTTCTTGTATTTGAGCCGCCCCCACTCCTTAGAGTAACACCCCTTTCCCAGTGACAGATCTGATATGCAGCCACCGTACATCCAGGACTTCCTCCTGAGACAGCACTGACCTCAGATGTCCATCCTGGTGCCTCCTTGAGTCACTGAAACATCCTTGCTATTCCAGAGTTCTCCACCCGGCTACATTTCTCGGGCTGCTGCTTACCAGCAGAAGTGTATCAGGAATCCTTTTCGATCTAATTTGGACTATCTAAACATAGTCACTCTATACTGGACATGTTTCTAAACCCGGAAACTGCCTGTGCTTCCTTCCCCCTTTAAAGAGACAAGCTCTGCCTGGGCAGACAGGATAATACAGCCTCAGCCTGCCGGGAGGCTTCCTAAGCTGGGGCAGTTGGGGTGTCCTAGTTGGTCCTCTTGGTTATATGCCACTGGTGTGAATGCAGACCTCCTGGAGAAGGCCCTCTGTGTACTTTTCCCCCTAAAAGATACAATGTAAGGGCCCTAAGCTGATGAAGGATTTAGGAATAAGCTAGGAGGGTATCCCTGTGGCAACTATATCAAGAGGAAACTATTCAGACATTCCTCTCATAGACAGTGACTTTTTTTTTTAAATATATTTTATTGAGTTTTTACAGAGAGGAAAGGAGAGAGATAGAGAGTTAGAAACATCGATGAGAGAGAAACATCGACCAGCTGCCTCCTGCACACTCCCCACTGGGGATGTGCCCACAACCAAGGTACATGCCCTTGACCGGAATCGAACCTGGGACCTTTCAGTCCGCAGGCCGACGCTCTATCCGCTGAGCCAAACCAGTTTCGGCTAGACAGTGACTTTTGACAATTTGACAATTTGAAATACCTTTAAGTTCTACATAATTTGGTAAAATTTAGTATCTGAAACAGGTTGCTGTTTTTTTCTCATAGCACATTAGCAGCAGCCATTGCATTTAAGACTTCGGACATTAAGAACGCGTTCTGTAAGATTTTGGACTCCACAGAGATTCATTTCGCAGTAGATTTGAAGCTACTGGAAATCTACTTCTGTTTTCTGGACACTAGTGTATTGGATACAAATAGAGTTAACTTACTTTGTCTAGAAAAAAATAATTCTCAAAGTGTACATTACTTTATTAAAGTGATCAGAAAACAACTGCACTAAATAATGTGATTTCTTACACAAACAGCCATCAGTGGCCTACGTGCACACCACGCCGGGCCTACCTTCAGGCTGGGAAGAAAGGAAGGATGCTAAGGGACGCACATACTATGTCAATCATAACAATCGAACCACCACTTGGACTCGGCCTATCATGCAGGTATGCAGATCGCCACACAATTGAAAATTGCAGGCAGGTGAAGCCGAAATGTACAAGAGCTCCACGCTGCTATTGCTTATGTATTGTCCTGAGAACCCATGTTTTAGAAAAAAATTTTTCCACGAAGAGAATGTGTTATTTTAAGTATAATATATGCCTATGGAAGAATTTGGTCCCCAAATCACTCTATTCTCGGATATATATATATTTTAAATGTCATGTGAAAGATATTTTCAAAGTAAGAGCCTATAGCAGTGTGTAGTGTCTCTCCCAACCCCCACACCCTTTTTTCCTGAGGCTCGTTTTCATGCCTAGCTAGTGATTCATTTTTATTTCCCTTGAATGTGTTTCCCCAACCTTCCCCTCCCCCATTATTACGTTTAATCATTCCTCCATGCTTTAAATAGGCCAGACCTCTCATTACTGCTGGCTGTGTTGTTGTTTGGGTCCACACTCCCAACCACACACAAAGGGAGATCCTCACATAAAGCTAACTTGTTTTTGCTCCAACATAGCTTGCAGAAGATGGTGCATCTGGATCTGCCACAAACAGTAACAACCATCTAATCGAGCCTCAGATCCGCCGGCCTCGTAGCCTCAGTTCGCCAACAGTAACTTTATCTGCCCCACTGGAGGTGAGAAGGCTACTCAGTGTAATTGGGGTCACGTCTGTCCTGTGACTTCTCATTCTCTCTTTTCTCTTAACTTGGACTTCAGTTTCACAGCCACCTTCCTGTCTGATCATTGTGTTCGTGGTGAAGGGTGTTCTTGTGCAGCCTCAGTATATGCTTCTCTGTTGCGCCCAGCTCACATCCTTGAACTCTCACCTGATTCTCATTCTCATGGGGCTGAGGCCGTAGTGACTTGTGCTGTACATGTGGGTTCCTCTCTTCAGACCTTTCTCCATTCTTGTTGTTTCTCCCCTTCTTGCCTGTTACCTCATTAGACATGCATAACAACTCTTTCAGATAGCAATGCTTATATTAAGTTTTAAACGATAGCTGTGGCTTTGACCATTTCTTTTCCTTTGAACTGTAGGGTCTGTCATTGTATGGGCATACATGTTTCTGATGCACATCTGCATCCCTAAGTCATTGCTGTGCATCTGCGTTGCTCTCCTGTTTGTGTGGTCTGAATACCATGCCTTAGCATCACCGCATCAGGGAGTTGGAGAAGCCAGAGCACAAACGTTCAAGTTCTAAACTTGACGATGTCCTAGAGGTAGCTGTGGTACTCTCTGTGCCCTGGGCTTAAATGCTAATGAGTGGGAATGAATGATAGCTCTCTTCCAAACTGTGATACAAATGTCCTGGTAACCATACGAGTCCAGGTGGTTGTCTTTGATGATACAGGGGTTTCTTCTTATGCTCTGCAAATTGCCAATCCATTCTTCATTAGACTGTGAGCTCATTAAGAGCAGGGGCACGTCTTTTTCTACCCTCTGTAAAGTCTCCATCCATAATTCTCAGGGGAGCATAATATTTTTGGCATATATCCAATAGCTATCAAAGGATGGTGATTTTAAGTAATTAATGTTGTGTGTTTAATCAATAGAAAAACTTTAAAATTCAATTGATTTAAAAGTAAACAAATGACAGAAACAGATTTCTTAGAAGCTTCCCCTTGTCCCTTTCCAAATGGAACATTCGTGATACCCAGGTACATTTTGACACACTGGACTAGCACCTATAAGAGTTCTAATGCTCATTATTATTCCTTAGGGTGCCAAGGATTCACCCATACGTCGGGCTGTGAAAGATACCCTTTCCAATCCACAGTCCCCACAGCCATCACCTTACAACTCCCCCAAACCACAACACAAAGTCACACAGAGCTTCCTGCCACCGGGCTGGGAAATGAGGATCGCGCCGAACGGCCGGCCCTTCTTCATTGACCATAACACAAAGACTACAACGTGGGTAAGGTCGCTGCTTTTATTTGGCTCCATTTCCATCATGAGGTCTGACATTCATTCCCTCATTTCCTCATTCCGTACTCATGATTCTTGTAGAGAAATTTCACTGACACCGCAGCTTGTCCCTAGAGGGTCTTCTCAGCCTGCTTCAAGATCTGGCACGCAGGGGCTTGTGGGAGGGGTGATGGATGGGTGCAGGGTCAGGGCCAGCTGCTGGTGCCAGGTTGGATGCCTTTTCTCCAGAACATTCCTGGACAGCTATAGTTTTGACAGTTGGCCGTATTTGGAGGAAAAGCGGTGCTCTATATTGCTAGGATGTTGATGATACTGCTTCACCTCTCAAGATGGTATAATAGGAATTCTGATCTTTCTGAAAATAATTTTTCCTTGTCAGTTTCTTTCTACATTTTTATTAACATCACCCATCCTTGTTTGATTTATCCCTTTCGTTTGCACCGTCCACCTCAGTTTAGTATTTTATTTTAGTGTTTTACGTTTCTTTGCTCCATTTCACACCTGTAACTGTGGAATACGAGATGTACTGAGGATTTTGATTGTAAATGTGATAGTTCTTTTTTTGTGAACATTTTGTCAAATTTGACTCAGGAGTTGTGCCTGAGAAAGAATACGTGTGTTGTATGAATTTATACAATATGAGATTAATTAAAAGTGAATGTGCATATCTTTATACTCCTCTGTTCGGGTTTTAGCTGAATCAGTGGTGGGCTTCTTTAATGTAGCACTTGTCTTTTAAAGAGTCAGGGGTATTTTTCTATTAATACCCGTAGACCTATGACTGAACTGAAATTAGTCCTCTTGTTTCTGACTGTTTCCGAAGCTGCAGAAGGTTTGTTTTCCTTCCTGTCCCTATGTCCCCAACTAATGGCCTGGGTTCAGAGTTTGACTCAGTCCTTCTGGCTTCTCTGCTGCTTGCTTAGAATCAATGTGACTGGAAAGCTGTCTGAGTTTGGGGATTGTCAGTGGCCCAGAGGTGAACACGTGCTTTAAATCCCCATTTTCAGTGAAGACACGAGTGTGTCCATTGTTAGAACAGCAGTACTGTGTTAATGAAGGGGCCTGGACCAAAATGTCCTGGACTGTCATTTATACTTTGCCCGTGGCCTAATGTTAAATCAGTCCCTTGAGACTGGACTAGAGGGCCTAGATACCTCTCTCTCTCCCTCTCTCTCTTTCCCTCTCTCTCTCTCTCTCGAGTCCTGTGGATGGATGGTGGTAAGCACATCTCCATGAGGACCTTCTTGGTATTTGGGGCAGGACTGTGACTGTGCCTATTATTGTAGGATGCTTAATATCCTTGGTTCCTGTCACTGAATAACCACCATTCCTCTCCCTCCCCCACCACAGTGATGACCAAAAATGTTACCACATGCTTGCAAGAACCCCTTAGTGAGAACCACTCTAAAAGTTCTATTTTAAAGTAAAGGAATTAGCCTTCCAGGGGTATTTATCATTTAGATCCTGGTGACATTCATTAAACTCATAACTACCTCAAAGTCATATAATAACATGTAGCTTTGTTTGACTCACCTTTGAGTCTCATATCATATTATAGGTTTGTGGCCAAGACAAGAGTAAGAGATAGGCAGCTTTGGGGAAAACCAGCTAAGAGAGATTGGTTTTTAAGTCTTTTTTTTTTCCTCGTTGACATAGAACATGGCTGTCCTGCTAAGAGTACGCGATTCTACAAAATCCTCAGCCAGGAATGGCACTCCAGAAATAGGGGGTAAATAGTATAAAAGGAGATGGATTAGTGTATGGAGCCACGGTGGCCTGCCAACATAAGCTATGGTTTTAGAAATCTGAACTAGCTTAGTAATCAAATCCCCTAACCTTCTCACAGCCTTTCACGCCACAACTGCAGAGTAATTGCAGCTGGGCAGGTTTGATTTTAAACAGCCCCAGCTTTGTTTACTGCCTGCATCCTTGCTGAATGAAACCCAGTTTGAATTTCCAGTTGCCCCTTTCTACCCACATGCTTGTTATTGACTGATTTACTGGTTTAAAATTTTAATTTGTTAAAACAACATTTTGTTGCTGCTGCCATTGTTGAAAATCCTTAAAGTAACAACTGGACATTCCCCCGGTTACTCCCCTTCTTCTCTAAACTCAGACAGGCTGGCCCAGCTGCTGCCTCTCCTTTTAAACAAAGGCCTGTACAGAACACTGACTGTGGAAGGATTGCTCTAAATTTCCTGTTGATTTGGACCAAAAATGGAGGAATAGAGGGAACTGTAAAGATCATTTTCAGCTTAAAATTTGTCTTGAGTTGGTTTGGGGTTTGCTTCGTGTGGGGTTTTTTGCTGTTGTTTTTTTTAAAAAAAATTTATTGATTGCAGAGATAGGAAGGGAGAGGGAGAGAAAGTTAGAAACATCAGTGATAAAACTCATCTATTGGTTGCCTTCTACACACCCCCTACGGGGGTCAAGCCTGCAACCTGGGCATGTGCCCTGACTGGGAATCAAACTGTGATCTTCTGATTCATGGGTTGACACTCAACCACTGAGCCTCAGTGGCTGGGCTTGCTTCGTTTTTTAAAAGAGAGAACAAATGAGAGGCCAGCATAGCTTTTCTTAGATTTGAGCCCTGTGGTGAAAAGCTGGTAGAACAGGTGGAGAATAATGAAAACAGTACTCCTGCCCGCCTCAGCCTGTATGCTCTTGATTCTTGCACTAAACCAGAGCATGAAAAGATCAGGCCAACATTTCCCCTGTGTACACGCACGGAGGAAAGTTCTTGTTGAAGTCTGTTTACAAAGCACGATCTCATATTAAAGCAGTGTGCCCGCCGTCCATCTGGAATAACGTCTGAGGCCTCAGCCTGAAAGCGAAGGTCTGTCCACCATGCTCTCATCCTTAGTAACACCTAGAAGAGGCACTAAGCCCTGGCCATGTAAGGATTCCTGTGGCCAGACTTCCAGCCATTGGTTTACTTGTCCCTACCTGGGGTGGGCCATGGATGCCTGCTGCAGGCCACCAGGTGACAGAGGAAAGGTTACAAGAGACCTTCGGTTTGTCTGTTCCTTCCTTCTGTTAAGGAAACAGCTCGAAGCATGTATGTAAGAGTATGTTTATGTCTCTTTCAGAACAATGTTTTTGTAGCAAGACAGAGTATGCCTTAATGAAGCTTCTACTGGGTCCAAACTAAGAAAACTCATTGTAGCCCAGGCCTGGTTGTTGATC